TGCAATTCGTGAGGAAAAAGAAGAGAATAGGTAATGAGATGAGATATTGAGCATTTACACTTAAAAAAAAACGGTTGGGATGCATTTAGAGCTCAAAATCGGTTGTTCATGGTGGTTGGCAAAATTGAAAAAGATGGCATTTTCGTAAATATCTTGAGATCTTTTGGTTTTTGTGTATTTTCAAATATTTCCGAAATTAAAAAAAAATCAGAATATAATGGCATTTTCGTGAATAAGTGGTGAGGAGAAGGATAAAGAAGGGAAAAAGTGGCAAAATAAGAGAGAGGGGATATAGGGGTATAGGTTTGACATTGACCACAAATTGTGGGTTATTTGTGCAACTATCCCTAAAACAATTGGTATTATGGTTGGATCAATTTTAAATCGATGTCATCATTATATTAGCAGTAATTAATTGAATGATATAAAATTTTTAAGATGATTTTATTAAAAAAATCAACTAACGATTCTAGAAATATTAATTATGGGCTCCTTAATTTTAGTTGCCTACAACCTTAATAATCGGCTGATCCACTGTTATATTTATCAAATGATTTTTTCTTCAACTATTTTTGAGTTGTCGATGTGGGATAACTTCAAGTTATTAACTTTTATCGATAACTAATACTAATTTACATCAATATAATATGACAGATAGAAAATGAGTTAATAATTGTAACTAAAATTTTATTAGCATCACGAAAAACTGATGTGGAATTTGTATCACTTTCTAAGTGATGTTTAATTTAAATTAAAAGTTTGCATCGATTATTAAACTGATATAAATCCATATATTTATATCAATTATGTTAAAATGATACAAACTAATAAAAATTTGTATCGGTTATATTAAATTGATATTAAATCAATCAATGATAACATCAGTTATCAGTGATATTATAAAACAAATTTTGTATCATTTATTATTAACTAATTTAAAATAGTGTCAAGTTTGTGATACTATTTAAGTGATGTAATACCTATCTTTTTTTTTAGTGATAATATTAAAAGAGAAGTACATTTAAGAGAATATCCAAAATTGGTTCAAATATTGCTTAAATTGCCATTGTCTTATAACTAAATTGAATTAATTGAAAAGGGTAATTTTGGACAGATGCGATGGCAATTTCAGTAATTTTGAGATCAATTTTGGGTATTTTTTGAATTGTATCCGGTGGAAGGACTGGGATCCTCTGTGTGACCTGGTTCCTGACCCGTTTTCATTAATTGCATTTGTGTAATTATTCAAAACTTTGATGGATAAAAAAAATGTCTAAATTTATTACGAGATCTCCACCGTTGGTTGCGATGACTTTGTAATCTCTTTTAAGAGTCAAAGTTTTTTATATAGGCTGTGAACAACGA